AACCCTGTTCACCAATTCTGACTCCCGTTTAGACTACTTTTGTATAGTTGTCAAAGGAATAAACTATTGTTTTTAAATAAATTCACTACAACTGGCTATAGCCAATAATAAATACTAATGCTTTTAAACCCTAAAATCATGTTCAAATAAAACAGCATAATACGTTTTTCATATTTGATAGAAATAACTCTGGAACAGTCAGCTGGTCCTACCGTTGATAATCTATTCAATTCTCCTGTATCTGAACCTGGTCCCAGCAAAAATACCTTCTGTAATTGGAACTAGAAAACCGAATACTACACGGGTAATTTCACTATAATACATGACTATGAATAACTTGTCTTATTGTAAATTCAGGCTAGTAAAAATTGTATTTTAAAACAAAAGTATGCGATATCAATCAGTTTATTTACCAACTACACATCTGAATCTTCCGACTACTGATCGAATGAAATAAATCTGCCATGTATTGCTTCTATATTCAGTCCTCTTGTTCTCATGAGTTTTACTAGCAGCTTATTGTCATCCACTTTGTTTAATCAAGTAACATTAACTTTTTTTATTGTACGCCTTGATCACCAAGGTGTTTGGTGTACAACTCAATAAATGGATGGGAATAAAGATAAAATGTATTGAATTCTACCACCAGCCAAAACTAAATAGTGTATTATCAAGAATCCAGTCTCACTATTTGCCTACCAAATTTTCTCTCTCCACAGTTCACAAGAGCTAGAATTTCTATAGCACTTATTTATCCTCTTCTGTTCTCAATATAACAAACATTTATGTATTAATTTTTAAATTAATAAGTTCCGTTTCATTATACTGTTTGTATAACATTTTACAGTCATGTTTATATTACTCCGAAACAGTGACGTTGATTCTTTGAAGTTGGTCCTTTGACATTTATCAGATTCATACTTAGGTATTGCTTATTTGAAGTGCACTCAGAAGACAGTAATTAAATTTACTTCCAATTCAATTGTGTACAAACTTAGTTTATTCTAATAATTTGGATATATTATTAACTACTTGTTCTGTTGTTGGTTTGATTCAGGATGGTACTCGTCACAGATTGACCTTAATTAGGGTACCGCGAAATCATAAGATTTTGTGTTTGATCCCGGGTGGGATCGTAAGTGGACATTGACGGGGTTTCATATTTGGACAAAAGAACTCCCTGATTTCTAATAGTGCTTCAGCTGAGGTCAATCTATAACGATTAATACCTTTAGACCAAACTGATTTCCACAAGACTCACTTAAAATAATGGATTTCTCAACACCCTCTTGCTTGAAACTAGTCATATCTGGACTTTTGTAGGCTGAACCTTAGTCGTTTTACCGTACATCTTTTCACATCGTTTCACTTCCGTTCTATCCATTCATTTTAACAATTCTTCAAGTTGCCTAATGAAATCCTAGCCCATAACACTTGGTGGACCCTCCACAAATTTTAAACATTTCCCAGATATGGACTGGCGATTGAATATTTTTACCAACTGCTAGCCTTAATCCATCTATTTCAATCCAGTGAGTTTTCAAAACCCAAGATGTGCATTTGATTAGCCTTCTTTTCGTTGTAGTTCAAAGCTTTGCAGTTACAAGTAAAGTTAATACTTTATAGAAATCATCTCCATCAATCATCTACCGACCGTTCTTCATTTAAATAGGTCATTGAAGACCTATTGTAAACATAAACTACACAGAATTTCCTACATATCTCTGTTCATTGTGAACATGTTGCCAGTCAAACATTTTCGACGAATAGCCTGTTAAAACTATTATCATCGTTATCCATTTTAACTCTCTTGGGGTCAGTTCTCGCTTTATTAACATTTTCAGAATACAATGGATTTCATATGTAAGGTGTTTGCTAATTGTTGCGCTCAGAGAAATTGTGGTCGATTTTAATCCTATGAAGTTAGCAGTTCACCGCCTCATAGTTAATAATCTGATTAATAGTCTTGTGTATCTTAAAAATGTACGAACTGATTATCACGTGATAACTATTTATGGCTATACAAAGATCAAGTAAAAGTAATACTTGAAAGCTCCAAAGTCCAGTTCTGATTAGTTGATGTTTTCATCCTTTCGCTTCTGTGTATGTTCTAATCTTACTTGAACACATCATTTAATGGGTATCTTCATCATCTTTTTGGGGGTCTGTCATATTTGTTTTATTCTAACCTGAAGCTGGATTGATTATCCCTAATACATCCTAGTGATCTGTCATCTATTCATTAGTGTCTAACAATTTATGTTTACTAGCTGCTTCTAACTTTTACATTCATCTGAGAATTATCGTAGACTATGTAAGGGAAAACCTTTTGCACATTAATCGTTTCTGTGACTTTCACCGCCCCTCGTAATCTGAATAAAGTATAGTAACAGTCGTCACGTTTCATTCCAGTCTCGGTCGGCAAGAAACACGTCGGTCTTTCGAAATGAAGTTTCGTCTGTGTCAATTAGCAGAGTAAGTGCACACAAAAACGTTCTGCTAAATCCGAGAAAACAAGAACTTGACATTTAAAAGGACTTTTGAAGTTAAATATCCAGGCTGCACTCAATAAATGTTTATAATGATCCAAAATTGTTGATCCGTATTAGGAAGCTGTTACGAATAAGTTAATTTTTTTATACCAAATAGACCATTTTTGGAGTACCAATACCAGGTGCTTGATAATAGGAGACTTTAATGCACCTAACATTAGTTGGACTGAAATGACCACAGAAGGATCTATAAATTCCTTTGATAATAGGTTCCTGATAACAATAATGGAGCATGCATTAGTGCAGCATGTATCCAAACCTACACGTTTTGGTGCTAACCAAGGTTCTTCTCTGTTGGACTTGGTAATCACTCATGATACTGAAGATATTGTCGACCTAAATGTTCTCCCACCGTTGGTGAACAGTGATCACGCTGTTTTGTCCTTCTCGTTTATAACTAGGACATGTTATACGATAAGGTCACAACCCGCCCAAATATATGGAAAGCTAACATATCAGCCATTCAGGAATGGGCTGTTAAGACAGATTGGTTTGTAGATACTAGCTTATCAGTTGAAGAAGCATGGTCTGTATTTAAATGTAAGTTTAGTTTAGTTACATCCTCGTTCATACCATACCTGATACCGAGAAGACCGAGCGATAGTCCACCATGGATAACCAGACCAGTTAAGAAACTTCTTAGAAGAAGGAAGAAGCACTGGAATATGTTCATCTCTACGGGCTTAGAACAATACCGATCCAATTATTATGAGACTAGGAATGCCTGTAAAGCTTTAACAAGTAAGACTAGACGATCATACGAAAAGCAATTTGTTAGGGATTCTAGATATAATCCGAAACGGTTATTCTCGTATATAAAAAGGCGAAGTCAGAGAAGTAATGGAATTCCATCACTTTTGATACAAGAAAATCCGTTAATTTTGGCAGAGAATGATACAGAAAAAGCTGAAGCTTTATCAAAATATTTGAGTAAAGTGTTTTCTATCACTAATGAGGAACGACCAATGATTCATTATGACCGTAACGGCTCGCTGATGGATCCTGTGGTCATTGAGAAAGGTACTGTTTTAAGGCTACTTCACCATATCAAACCTGATAAGTCCAGTGGTCCTGATAATATTCATCCTAGGATTATGAAAGCCATATCAGACGTAATTGCTGAACCATTGGCGATAGACCCGTTAGCTTAACGAGTGCAGTTGTAAAACTGATGGAAAAAATCATTCGGCTATCTGTTATAAACTATGTTGAATGGCATAATCTTTTCTCTAGGGAACAACATGGTTTTCAGAGAGGCCTATCGTGCTTGAAAAATTTTCTCATCGCAAGAGAAGGTTGGGCTGCTGCAAAAGATCAGAATATCCCTGTAGATGTGATCTTCATAGATCTTAGTAAGGCTTTCGATAAGGTCTCTCATTCTGGTCTTAGACTCAAACTGGAACTCTTCGGAATCCATTATACAGTCGTAGATTGAATAAGTAACTTTCTCCATGACAAGAGAAAAAGGGTAAGGGTAAATGGGACTCTTTCCTCGTGGGTACTTGTGAAAAGTGGAGTTCCCCAAGGTACAATCCTCGGTCCTCTTCTCTTTTTACTTTATTTAAATGAATTAGCAACTGTAGCAAAATCATCCGTTCTACTATTCGCTGATGACATAAAAATTTGGAGACCCATACACAGTATGTCAGATAGAATAGTATTACAGAATGATCTTAGCTCATTGGTGGCATGGTTAGACAGGTGGTCACTTGAAGTAAATCCCAATAAGAGTGTGGTGATGCAATTAAATAACAATGATGAATCGTATCACTATACAATACGTGGATTCGTACTACCCAAAGTAAGAAACTATAAAGATTTGGGAGTCATATTAAGTAGTGATCTCAAAACCACTAGTCACTGTAAAGCTGCTGCTGCAAAAGGCTATAGGGTATTATGGTCTATTCGTAGGTCTTTTCAGTATTTAGATGACGAAATGTTTAGATTACTATACCCGATTTATGTGCGACCATATTTAGAATATGGAATTCAAGCAGCAAGTCCTTGTTTCAAGTATGAAGCAGATATGCTAGAGCGAGTCCAATGACGAGGTACTAAGAGGGTACAAGGTCTCTCTGGACTATCTTATGAAGACAGATTGAGACACCTCAAATTATTTCCTTTATCTTACCATCGAATACGGGGTGATCTAATATTGGCTTATCGTATACTGAACGATTACCTTGGTATTAACATATCTTATCTTTTACTTCCGTCTAGGACTGATCGTTTGAGAGATCAAATCGTTTACGTCTGGAGTTTCGTTTCTCTCATCGAGTAGTGAATTATTGGAATTCTCTACCGGAACACGTAATATCAGCACCTTCTGTTGATATATTCAAAACGAGATTGGACCTCCACAGTATTACAAACTGCAAAGATTAATACAGGTCGATAGACCTCCTATCCTTATTACTGAAGACTGAAGACTGAAGATATTAGAAGCGCCGCGTTATTTCGAGGGCGCGTCACATTAGTCCACGTATACTGTTTCGTGTTGTTGTGGTACGAAATGGTTTCTGTATCACCAACAAAACACGAAATAGTTACAATTTTAAATAAATTGAAGTCTTTGCCGTTCAACAAGGTACTTTCAGCCATTGCCTTATGATATTTTGTCCAGCAATGCTTTGACTGTGGTGCTACAAATCCAACATGGGCCAGTGTTACCTACGGTGTTTTTCTTTGTATTGATTGTTCGGCCGTCCACCGGTCACTTGGAGTCCATTTAAGTTTCATTCGTTCGACTCAGCTAGACACTAACTGGACTTGGGTCCAGTTGCGCGCAATGCAAGTTGGTGGCAATCAAAATGCGGTAAACATGATGCTCCCCAATAATTTTTTGTAGCTTACGTTCTTCTCTCAAAATAACTGTCGTTCCTTGGATGCGCAGGAAAAATACCAAAGTCGTGCTTCCCAACTATACCGTTCTAAGCTGGAAAAACTTGCTATTGACGCTGTTAAAACCTATGGTAACAAGGTAACTTGTCACAACCCGTTTTATTTTCTACAGTTGACCCTGGAACTTGATGAAGGAAAGTTCAAACGTGAACAGGTGGCTGACTTTTTTGAGGAACATACCGAAAGCGTTACTCCTGACATTAGTAATGATGGACCTGTGACAGTAACAACAAGTGAGTTGTGCACGTGTTTGTACTGATAGGTACCGAAAATATGGTTTATTTATCAGTAGGGTCGGTACTTTGGTTTCTATCAGAAATGTATATAGGCTCTCGTATCTTAATTAGCGACTGCCGGGAACTTATTTGCTTGTCCTAAATCCGACAGTTTCAGATAAAATTTCAACCTGTTTTGTATTGAAAATGAGTTGCTCAATAAAGTTTCTCAAATAAAAAATATCAAAGGGTTACGGCAATGTGTTTCAGCGTCATCAGCACCTTGTAATCACCAGTTCATAAACAAAGGAGACGAAAGTATTGAGTTAGTCAGTTTGAGACTTCTTATAATTAAACTCATCTTTTGTATAGTATGCCAAACATTAACCAGACTTGCTACTCCATGTACATATCCCACCAGTTACGAAAAGACTGATCTGCCTTCTGTTAACGCCATGACGTCAGTAATACCAAGTTATAAGTATTTCCACAATGTTTTTTTCAAAACTAAGTAATTACCGTTCATCAAAATTCCTAAACTAGTTAAAAATAAAATCATATTAATTTGTAAAACGGGTTCAATCGCCTAATAGCTGCTTCCTTAAGTCTAGATCCAGTTTTTCATAGGATACGAAACCGATCTAGTTATAGCAGCATGTTTTTTTCAGGTACTAAGGTGATTACAGGCTGTTTTAAAGATGGAAAAATCGAGAACTGAAGCTGTTGTCACGTGAAATAGCTTTTGAGTGTTCTATGCCAATAATAGCGCAAAATGGGGACTAATTTTAGGATAAAAGGTAATACTAACCATATCGAAAACTAGACAAGGTAAGGAAAACAAAATCTAAGATATGTGTAATGTTTCAAAGATATGTAAGTATAAACGACACCCATCTGTTCTTCTGCAGGCTACTATCACTTATATTTTTTGACGTTTCTAATACTAGCTATGTTTATATTGGAAACTCATTTTCCGCAAACTTCTTTAATCAGTCAGAGAGACAAAATCATCGATAAAAATTTTATAGAAGTAGTAGAAAAGAGTAAACAGAAAATATGATTTCAGAAGAAAATTATTTCTCAGGATAAAAAGCTTGAAGCAAATTTAAAATCAAAATCTTAGGAAAGAATCGATGTATCTTCCCCATTGTATTCGATTCCAAACTATGTTACCCAGTGCCATTGGTCATGATAATCTCACAACCTTTAGCTGAGTAGTCTACACCTACCTACACAGCTCACTCCAACACATGGTATCAGTCAGTCAGTAAGCCAGCTACAACGTAGGACCAGGTACATATATGCATCGGTCCAAGTTGCCATACCGCATTAGCACAGCAAGATGAACACCGGATTCATAGAAGTGGTTAATTCAGTGGTGATAATATATAAAAGGAAATTGCATATAAGGAGATAGTACAGGAATAAAGAATTAGTTCGTAGAAAGAAAGATATGAAGCGATTTTAATCTCTTAGTTTGAAGGAAGACAGAGAGTGTATACACCGACGCCACTGTGATCGATTGTGAGCCGTCACCAAGAGTCTCCAACCACTGGTCACGATAGTCACGTGGACCCCAACCAGGTAGTCTGCATCTACCAATATGGCTCAGACTAGAAGTTAGTGTCTTCAAGGACTGATGCCACGTTTTGGTTTGGCCGCCCCTAACTTTCTTCCAACCATCCCCAACACCAGTTAGCATTGCACGTCGTGGTAATCAGTGTTCAGGCATACACAACACGTGGCCCAACCATCTCAGTTGATGAAGATTTACAACCTCATCAACTGATTTCCATCATTCCCTGATACCTGTGAGTCTAACCACACTATTACTTACCTGGTGATCCCAGCAGATGCGAGCAATATTTCTAAGGCATCTGTGGTCAAATACTTGTAGCTTACGAGTATCTTCTACTCTTAAAGGCCATGTTTCGCAGCCGTATAGTAGAACAGAACAAACTGTCGCGCAGTATACTCGTCCCTTAATTGATAGACGGATATCTCGCCTTCGCCATAGATGACGTAAGTTGGCAAAAGTCTATCGTGATGAAACAATCGAGCTATACTGGCTGGAACAATCGTTCCTCAAGGTCCTACCATGTCAGACAGGTCGGTTGAAGAACGGTAAGACTAAATGCAATAATCCGAAGGCGAAGTCGTACTACTGACTGTACAGAGGTGACAGCAGTAAGGTGTTTCCTTCAGACAACCAGCATGACAGCGATGCTGCCTTCCCACAAGGAGGGGAGGGGTTAGAAAAGGTCAACCCTAAAAATGCACACCTCGCCTTATCCCACGGATATCCGTCTCTGACGGTAAGGTCTCAACAAGTATGGAGTTAACATAAAAATTACTCATTAAAAGGTCGTGTGTGACCGACCTCAATCAGTTGTACCTTCGGCACAGCGGTCACGCTCTCAGGTCACTAAGACCACCTCTAATCCAATTTCCTTTTCAGGTACCTCCAGAAGAACCCTTCCACAGTGTGGGCAACCGGGAAGTGATAACCGCCCTCATACATCTAACAGCAGTCAAGACCACTGTATTCATAATCAACCTCCCTCTTCAATTCCTATTATTCCTCTTACATCGACTTTCAAATCTAAACTTCCTCTTTCGGCTTCCTCATCAAGTGTCACCACAGCCAACGATTCTTGTGCGCAAAACACTGTCCCAGGTCTACTGAAACCTCGCTCCAAACTACACATTGGAGCCTTCAACGTACGCACCCTGTCAGATCGACCATCAGGTCCTTGGCTAACACCTTAGAATCTCGTACCATTGATGTATGCTGTGTCTCCGAAACACGCATACAGGATCCTAGTGTGGTCATTCACTTGACCTCACCTCGGCAAAACGGAGAGCCGACGAGATACACCCTCCGTGTATCTGGCCACCCGATGGCTAGTTCTCGTGGACTGGCAGGTGTAGGCATAGCATTAAGCATGAGGGCGAAACAAGCGCTATTACAGTGGATCCCCGTTAACAGAAGTCTATGCACTGTTCGGCTTAACGGCTCCATAAGAACCCCGAAAGATAGGGACACACGTCGTTGCCTTTTCGTCGTTTCTGCCTACGCTCCCACTGACTGCAGCTCGGATGAAGTTAAAGATGACTTGTATAGAAAGCTTTCTGAACTAATTCAAAAAGCTAAACGCTCCGACATGGTACTCGTAGGTAGATTAAGCCAAACAAAAAGACATTTAGGTGGGTATTTTAGTATTCCGGCACAGAGAACAGATAATGGTGATCGTCTGCTGCAACTGTGCTCAGACAATTGTTTATGTTTAGCAAACACTAATTTTAAGCATAAGGAAAGACATCGTCTAACACGCGAACCCCCTGCATCAAGCCAACGATGAACTCAAATAGACCATATTGCCGTCAGTCATCATTGGAGAGGGTCGATAGAAGATTGTCGCTCATTCTGGAATACCTGTTTGGGCTCCGATCATGCTCTTATACGGGCACGTGTCTGCTTGCGTCTCACTGGACGCAAAAAGGCCACATTAATTAGACCCATTAGAACTGAACTGAGTAACGAGAAAACCAAAAGTACGTTCCAGGAACAACTGAGGTCACATTTAGGTAGTTCAGAAAACGAGGCTGACCCAGATGTTGCTTGGAAAGATATACAATCAACTGTAACATCTATTAGTGATTTAAACAAAAGGGTTACAAAGAACCAATGGATTTCTTCAAGGTCTATTGCACTGATTGATTCGCGTAAACTCATCCCACCAGGCTCTGAACACGATGAGGAGCAAAAGCAAATCAGATCTAGGTTAACCTAAAGACTATGGAATGACCGTGAGTAGTGGTGGGTAACGAAAGCAAAAGAGATGGAAAAGGCGGCGGCTAGAGGTAAGACAAGACAGCTCTACAGACTCATAAAAGAAACTGGTACTAAAAAGTCAAGTGTAAGTGAGATTATCTCGGAAAAAGACGACGTTCATATCTGCTCCCAGTCCAGACGTTTAGAACGATGGGAGGAACACTTTAACGAGCGGTTTAGCTGGCCTTCAGCTACTCTACAACTACCCTCCGTTCTCAGACAGTGTGAATGGAACATTGAAGTAGGTGCTCCAACTCTAGCTGAAGTTCAAAAGGCTATAGTTAATCTAAAACGAGGAAGGGCAGTTGGTCCAGATGGATGGGCTCCAGAGGTCTTTAAGGTTGGTGGTCCAATTTTAGCGACTAAGTTGACTAATGTTTTAGCTAAAATCTGGGAGTTGGACGTTATCCCATCTAACTGGTCACAATCACTTATCGTCCCAATATATAAGAAAGAGTCAAAATCATCTTGTGACAACCATAGAGAGATTAGTTAAACTAATTTAGTATCTAAAATACTAGCCTCAATAATTATCGGGTGCCTAAAAAAGCCTCATGAACTGCGAACACGAGAAAATCAGACTGACTTCAGTCAGTCAGCTGCAACGTAGGATTATTATTATTATTATTTTAACACATAAGTATAGGTACAGGGAGGCACCAAATACATATGCGCCACACAAATCTCAACTGATTAGTGTGAGGGCTGTGATACTGCCCGGGTGCCCAGACCGTCCTGCAACGTAGGACCAAGCACGTATATGCGTCGGTCCAAGTTGCCATACCGCATTAGCACAGCAAGATGAACACCGGATTCATAGAAGTGGTTAATTCAGTGGTGATAATATATAAAAGGAAATTGCATATAAGGAGATAGTACAGGAATAAAGAATTAGTTCGTAGAAAGAAAGATTTGAAGTGATTTTAATCTCTTAGTTTAAAGGAAGACAGAGAGTGAATACACCGACGCCATTGTGATCGATTCTGAGCCATGTCACCAAGAGTCTCCAACCATTGGTTACGATAGTCACGCGGACCCCAACCAGGTAGTCTGCATCTACCAACATGGCTCAGACTAGAAGTTAGTGTCTTCAAGGACTGATGCCACGTTTTGGTTTGGCCGCCCCTAACTTTCTTCCAGGCATCCCTAACACCAGTTACCATTGCGCGTCGCGGTAATCGGT